TGTGGCTTATTCTTCTTCACAGACCCACATTCACAGCCACACCCACATTCTCTTGTTGATCTATTCAAATTGATTTAATTAATTGTAAGAAATGATTTGAAAAACAAAATGAACATCCAATTTGATTATCTGTATGGTAAATGTTCTAGAATGGTGGCAAATTTTTCTTCATTTATTGGTTGAAGACTACCACCTAAGATGAAGTTTTTTTAAAATCGCATTAAATAAAATAAAAATTTGTTTTTTAACTTCGAAGCATCCATATTGTAGCTGCTAATTTAATACTGTCATCCACAGCAATTGATACTTGTGTCAATTTTTCAAGTTTATATGGAAATTCACTACGAATTTATCGGTTAATATGTTTTTTAGATGATTTCATTCGTTTCTCTTTTACAATTTTTAATAAGAGAAGAATTATAAATCTCTTAGAAAGTTATTAACCTATGAATGATAAATTAATGATGTTGTCGGATTTGCCTTGCATGTCGATATGAATTTTAAACAAATCAGCATTACATTTACAGAAATTTTCACAAAATTGATAGAAAATCTTGATATCATAGATGATTTATTTGAAATTATTCAAAACTAAAATCAATTGAACAAACGGTAAAAGTAGTGATGATGGAACGAGATTAGAGCTAGATTCGGCTACCGTCAATTAATGCATCAAACGGGTAGGGTAAAAGTTGTGCATTTATTTTGTTTTTGATATAGCATTCTGCAGTTTCTCTTTGTTGGAAAGAACTACGTATCTATTGGAAAAAAAATTTGATTTAACATCGTTGTCAAAAAATAATAAAGCTTTTAGAACCAAAGACATCGGAAAACTCTTAAGCAACGTTTTTTTTTAATTTAGAAAAGATTTCATTTAATTGGAGTAAAGGTGGGTGCACGCGTATGCGTGTAGATATCTTGTTGTCTAGGAGCGCACACTCGCACGCTAAATTCAACATTGATGAACGTTGAGGAAGAACAATATCCTAAAAGAAGAAAAAAACAAACATTTTTTTCTGAGTCATAATTTCTGTGCCAGACCGTAGTAAACATATGTATTCTCTTCTTTGAGATATTCCTGAAGAATAAAAACCTCGATCATTATTATAAATAGTTATTATTTTAGTAGATGAAGCATGATTAAGTACTTTAACACCCATTTTTGGTAGTAGTTCTTGTTGAGATGACAAAATCTGTTGTCTTTTAGTTGTTTCACTAAATTCATCATTTGTTTTTAAACAATAATCAGTTGTTGACGTTGAGGAATTTTTTGTTGTAATTTATGTATTTATATTTGATGATGTTGAATTTTGTGTACTTCCTGTCATATAACCATTATTTAAAACAAATAATGGTTGTTGCTGTTGTAAAGATTGTCGACTAGTTAAATGAACTGGAGATTGTTCAGAAGAAGAAGGAGATGAACTTTTAAGTGATTCAATACAAAGACTATTAAGAAACTAAAAGACTTTAGATGATTCGATTTGAGTTTGATTTAAATGTGTTCGATCATTATCATCTGAATTACTCTGTATTTTTTTCTTCTTTTGGAATGATTTGCTTATTAAAAAGTGGGTTTTTGAAAGACAATGGTATACGAATATTTTCTTTATTAAGATTTTCAACAGTTGTTATGGTTGATGATGCTGATATTGAATGATAACCCATTTGATTGTTTATCTAAACGATTATAAAAATGTTCTGATGATGGTATTGACGTTGAATGATGATAAACATGATGATGATGTAAATGTATTTGTGTACCATTTTGTATTGTTGAATCAAATAATTTTATATTTGTTAATTCATTTAATGTTCGAAGAGTATTTAAATCAATTTGTTCGGATAGATCAATAACAGTTGAATGAAATATTGAATATTCTCTACCTAAAATAAAACAAAGCTTTTCAGATAAATTACTTTAATAATAAACTAATCTAAATCAATATCATATTTATTATCATGAAGATTTATATTTGAAGATTGTGGTTCATCATAATCATGATCGATTATCTGAAGAATAATTTATTATATAGGGGATTAATCTTTTTATTTTGCTTACAGATATATTAGCTAAAAATCTTTGTATATTTTCCGATTTTTTCCAAGAAAATCATTCATAAATTTCATATAAGATTCTTTTGAACCGAAACTGAGTTAAAAATTTCTTAAAAATTGAAAATTAGATGTTTTGTTTTACTTAGAAAAATTTGCTAATGTTTGTAATGTTTTATTAAGGTTAATTTACCTTGAGTACACTGTAAAAAAAAACGGTACTTTCTGGAACCTCAAAAAAAGGTTCGGTAGATGACAAAAAGTTTGCAAATGTGTTGAAAGTTTCAAAAAACGAATAAAAAAAAAA